AGGCTGTCGGTGCTCAGCCCTCCCGCCCGGTGGGCCACACATGCGCCCTCAGCCGGGAGCACGGCAGGAGCCGCATCTGGACTGGTCCAGGTCACATGGTGCGTGCGGGCGGCACTGAGATCTGAGCTCGGGGTTCCCCAACTCCCGGTCCTGAACCCGGGGCTGTGGGGATCCCAGGCCCCTTCTTCGATGTCCCCACGGGGACAGGAAGGCTGGCCACCACTCACACTCTGTCCCGGGGGACACAGACCCTCTCCGTCACCAGCACCTGGTACCTGGCCCACCTCAGAGAAGCTGCCAGCCGCACGGGGCACATGCCGAGGCCCCGCTCCCGGTGAGTCTGCGTGGCCCCGGGTGTTGCCCACGGCAGCTGGGCTCACAGCCCCCACCAGACTGCCTCTGGCTGGCGATGCGGGGTCCTTGCCATCCAGGACTGCGGGCAGGGATGGGGGTGGGGAGGGCCATCCTGGGTTCAGGGACGCGAGGTGATAGATGCACGGCTCAGAGGGGCGGGAGGGAGCCCACCTTCCATTGCCCCTAATCCCCTCCCACCCTGCCGGGGCTCAGGGGCTCTCCAACGCAAGGCCCCGCCTGGGGTGTCCTGCCCTCTCTCCTCCCACGGCCCCCCTCAAATCCAGAGCTGGCTCCTCTGCGGGAGGCTCCTCCCTCCCCACATCCTGAGGTGCTCTCCACACCGGCCCCGCACTTCCTACCGCTCCTATGCACGTGGGAGAGCCCAGGCAAGGCGCCATGGACACCAAGTCCTACAGACCCAGATTCTGGATGCCGGGGACCCCTGCACACTCCCCGCAGTGCAGAAGGACCCTCCCTCCTCAGGCAGGCCCACGCCAGGCTCCAGCAGGAAGCTCTCTTGGATCCTGAGGTGAAATCCACCCCCAGGGGCTGCAAATCACACGCTCCCACGTGAGAGAGGGAGGAAGGCCACAGAGACCACCTGTGGGGCTGCTCCTCAGGTGGCGCCGTGCAGGCCCCCCCTGCTC